TTGGAATATCTTTAAATACCTCTGAAAAAATAGATGATGATGAATCAAATGTACTGATGTTGACCTTTTTCATTTGAATGCCCTTTTTTCTCTGTCTGTTTTCTTTATTTGTTAAAGAAATCTCAAAATAAAATCTGATATTAAAAAAAAGGAAACAACATGCAGCATTTTGTATAGTGTGTCAGACCATTCACTTAGTTTGGCAGCTCAAGTTGTAATTACAGCAGATTGCAACAGTAAAATACAGAGACCATGCCTCCAAAATTGCTGACAGGATTTTTGGCTATTAATGTGCATTGGCAGCCCCTTCTAATTGAAATAGCTTAATATTCACTGCAATGGTGACAATCACTACCCATATAAAGCCACACAAAAAATTATTTATAGATGGGAATTGGTACCCAATTGCCAGTGCTGTACATGTAATATCTTCTTTTACATAAAAATGCTGCCGATAAATGTCCAAGTGAAAACTATAGCTCAGATCCAAGTGCTATAGCTCAGATCCAAGTGCTTAACATTCATAAACTTTTCAGTCCATGTAATTCTTTAGATGGCTAATCCAAATGGATTCACTCCACCTAACTGTGCTCATAAAACACTGTGCTCCACTTATATGCAGAGTGACCACTCACCTTCAATATAGGCCCACACTTTCATACAGATATTTTAGCACTTGTGTAAAGATCCTTATGTGATTTCCATATATAAGAGACATTTCTTTTTATTACTTATTTTATACCCGTATGTACTTGTATTGTTTGAGCACTTTGCACATGCACTTTTACAAATGAATTGGCATTTATTCACTTTCATATGACATGTTTTTGGTATAGTCTTTTTATTATAGAATTTATTGTATAGGTAACATGCTTTTGCTCTATAAGGACAGTATTTTCTGCACAATTATTATGCACTTGTAGATATTAGAGCAAGCACCACATTTTCTTTGCATTTTTACTTGTATCTATGTAGGGACACATATGTTAATATGAGCTTCTGCCCACCTATAGGAATTTTCTATTTCCAACTTTGTTCTTATATTTTATACTATGCTCCTTATATTTTATTCCAGTTTTGGTTGTTTCGCTATTTTTATTTGTTTCATTGTGAGTGGTGGTAGCGCATAGGTCTATTTACAAGTTTTAACTACTTGCTAGCTGCTTCTGACAAACTGAAAACCCAAATACAGGTTGGGGGTGTCCATACTCTCACTCATTCGGCTATTAGTATATTATGAAGAGACTTGCAACAGATTGTGCCACAGAAGCTAGTCACACTTTAGTAGCAAGCAATCATGGTGAAAACTGGAGAGTACCTCAAACATGCTACCTGATGGCTGCAAGAGGTTGATATTTAATGTTTTAAATATCCAAATCCAATATTTAATATTAACTGGATTACATGCTAATAAAAAAAGAACTGCATTTAAAGTGACAACAATTTTGCCAGACAGGAAGTGAGATCAAATATGCAACAGTAACACAGACAGCAAAATAAAGCAGACAGGGATTTTAACCTTTCCTTATTCCATTAATAAAAGAATTTCTGTTTCTTTCTGTTGTGGTCTTGGAGATTTCTCTCACTTACTGTCTCTAAAAAGGCAAAATAAAAATATAAAAAAACAGAATAATGGATAATATATAATACTTAAAAAAAAGAAAAAGAAAACAGCAAGGACACCACAATAGTTGCCATCCAAAAAAGTAGTAGTAATTTAAAAATGGCAAAAGTATCATAGCCAAACATGATATACTGGTGCCGTCAAGCCCAACCCATTCACCCCAGTACCCCCTATAGCTCTTGGAATATAACTAAAAGATCTCTGCACTTGAGTTGCCATGTGTGTCCACCTGCTGAAGTAGTTCTCTACCAGCTGAATTTTATCTATTGTTCAATTTATTTTGGATAGTGGAAAAGAAAACAAGAGAACCAATGTTTATCCTGCTATTGCAGAAGGATAAAACGTTATAGTAAGGGAATAGGGCAGAGTAGATAGAATAGGAGATCTCAGCACTGGGATCCCTGAGGATATACTGTACACCTGAAGGTGATTCAACTGTTCAATATATATCAATAAGTAAGGGGATATAGTCTTTTACTATATACATCAATTATATGCTGTGCTTTACAATGGACCCATAATGATAGAGCAGAACAAAGTCTAGACCACAAATAAACAAAGAAATTGAATCCTTGTTCCCATTCACAAACAAATGTGTCAAGCCAAAGATATGATGATGCTGCTACTTAAAGCGGAGCTCCACTCAAAAGGCGAAGTTCCGCTTTAAGACATTCACCCCTCCTCCTCTGCCTAACTTGGCATGTAATTTTGGACAGGGAGTTTTGACAGGTACCCACTCCCACTTCCGCTCAGATTGCCTAGGTGGAAGTTTTCCTTCTGCCCTTCCTCCCTGCAGTCTTCTGGGACATGCCCTTTAAAGGGTTGGTGGTGCCATGAGGCGGGACAGGGTTTAGAGTTATGTGACCGCCGTGATTAGCTGTCACAGAGCTCACATGATCGGAAAGCTCCAGACCGCAAGTAGCAATCGGGACCTTTTCATGAGGTGCCAGTAAATGTGCCGGGAACTCGCAGGACGTGCACTCTCAGCACATTTCGTTTACATTGGGTACGCAAATATACAGCCCCTCGGTGCCAAGGCCCAGCCACCGAGAGGCTGCCTATTTGCATATGCTCAGAGCCATGGAGTTAAATACCAGATATAGACTGGTGATCTAATGCATAGAACAACAAAAGCAAAGAAGGCAAAAAAAACCTGAAAATGAACCATCATGCAAATAATATAATATTATGAACAGACAAAGTCCTTCAGTGGTTAAAAGATCTTCAGTTTAGTCCAAAAGTGAATGCCCCTCTCAATGTCATGAAAATTCTCTGAGCAGGAAATGTGTCCCAATGTCCGTAGCACTGGTAAGGATAGTGTCAGGAATGGACTTGCCAGTAATGGTGGGACTCACCTGCCTTGTGGGCTGCAGTACCAGGGCTGGCCAGCGGGTGCTCCCAGCAATCAGAGACTCAACCCTGTAGTCAGCCAAACACTTGAAGCTGATTACGGAGGTGTATTTAAGGGATGGCCAGTCCTGCAGTCTGTGCCTTGGTGTGTGTTTTCCTATGGGCCCCTGTATCTTGTTATCTGCATTCCTGTTCCTGTTCCTGTTCCTGTCTGACTGATTCGTTGCCGACCCTGCCTGATCCGGACCTCTGCTGACTTCTCCTGTTTGATCCCTGGCTTGTGACCCCGACCATTCTCTGCCTGACCCCCTGTACCTACCTGCCCGTTAGTTACTGTACCCGGCTCGTGACCTGACTACTCTCTGCCTGCTCCTCCTGTTCCTACCTGCCCGATTGTTATTGACCCGGCCTGCCTGACGACGCTTGCATTGTATGTATTATTATCTGTGGGTGGTTTGGTTTGGTTCGTTTGCAGTGTGTTATGTTTTAGTATTGCACTGCGTTTGTATTGTTAGTATTAATAAATTATATGGTTTATCACATATCTGAAGCCTGCGTTTCCCTGCGTCAGTTCACATACCTCTGGTCATACCCGGAGCCCTGACAGATAGAGTGTACACCTCTCATTAGAAGTAGTAAAAGTACTTGTTTCTAGTCTGTAAATATTAATATTCAGACCATGCCAGTGTGCTTGGTAAAATGTTTCTGAACATGTGCTAAGCAAACAGTTCCGCCTTTAGTGAAATCACATGATCAGCCCGAGCATGGCCTTTGTCAGATCAGCTGATAAGTGAGACCATTTCCCTTTATTATCCATGTTTTCTGCTCAGAGGGTTTCAATTACATTAAAAGGGGCTTTCACCTTTGGACTAAACTAAAGGATTTTTTAACCATTGAAGGACTTTATCAGTTCATTAGATTATATCCTTTGCATGTTTTACTTAATGGCTCATAATATGCCTTTAGGTTTGTTTGCATTCCTTACTTTTGTTGTTCAATGCATTACTATCTACACTGACATCCAATTAATACTGTTTCTGAAACTCTGTTAAAGCCTAGTACACACTATTAGAAAATCGGACAAACGATCATCCGATTTTCTATGAAGTTGCATATCATGATATAACCGGCAATAGTAATAACTTGTAGGAAAATTCTAAACGTAACAGAAAGAAGGGTCAGCCGCACATCGGAGGATTGATATATACAGTATATATTGTTTGATCCATAAGACATGGATCAAAACACCAGGACATGAATACAGGACCTGTTAACGCATTTCACACAATCTTCTGCTTAATCACAAACAAGGCAAAGACAAACCTAGGTAAACATAGCTACATACAGTACTAGCGTAGTAGAAGTGGAAGTGCAGGGCGTTCTTTGCTTCTGATTATGTGCATTTTTTTCTATTTGATTATTTCCGTACGATTACTGAACATATTAAACAAAAATCGGACGTTGTGTTCAGGTACAATAAAAATTTTCTAGCTTACACCTTCCACGTTTTTTTTTCCTTCTGAACAGTTGGAATCGGCTGTCAAAAGCAACTTACTAACAATCAGATAATGGACCGATCATTACTCGTACAGACATTTTTGTAAGATTTTCTTATCGTCTGTACAGACAATAACATCTTGCAATTGTTCTTTAATAATGAAAACACACGATTGCCAGTATTACCCAGTAGCGTAAAAGTCATGTCTACGGGCTATCTTAACTCGCGCTTTCTGAATCTAGGATTTGAACCACCTAAAAAATACATTTTTTTTTTGCAACTAAATAAAAGTTTGAAATGCACCTCTAGCCCCCCCCCCCCCCCCCCCCCCCCCCCCCCCCATCCACATAATTCTCAAGGCAGTCCAGTTGCATGCAGAATAATGGGACAGATATACAAAAGAAAATAAAAATTCGAGCTGGTGTCCACTGCAACTAATAAAGTTTCATAGTTATAAATGCAGCATGAAATTGTACTGTTTTGCAGCATACACAACTTTTAAAAGCATGTAGCACTAGAATGTATTACCTGGGAAAGATTCTAGAGGTAAATAATGATCAACATGATGCCCATTGCAGACCAGGACTGCATCAAAATACTCTTTCTTCTCAGTTCCATTCTTCTTTGTTAGCACTTCCCACTGTCCAGTCTTGGAAAAATGTGGACTCTTTGTCACCTGACAAACTTCAGTCTTAAAAATAGGGGAAAGGGATTTTTAGTCTTTCTTTTATTAGGGATACATATAATGATTAGTTTAATTGGAATAAACTTATCATTGTGTAAAAAAACACTGTCTAAAGCCCTTATTTAAAAGTGGAGTGCAGATTTTGCTATCCGCTGGATACCGCCGTATTACTCCACACCACAGGGTGATTTTTATGTCAAATTTATAAAATGCAGGCCATGGTGAGGAGCTTGCAATGTGCCATGAACTTCTGTCTTCTCAACACTGCAGAGAGAATTCCATGATTGGAGAAGAATCTGATCAAATTACTTTGGCAGAAACTTTTTTTCTTCCTTCCCTGTAGCTCTTCACTTAAGTCTGAAAACAAGTGCAGCACAATGTACATTTCTAAAGCTCACTACTGTGCATTATAAAGGTTAGGTTTTTTTTCAACTGGGTACTGCTAGGTATAAATATGTTTATACTATTGTGCTCAGAAGTTTGCATACCCTTGGAGAATTGGAAATATATAGTATGTACCATTTTTAACGAAAGCACGAGTGAGCAGGCAAAATACATCTTTTTTATTTCTTATAGGATTCATATTCAACTGTAGGTCATAACAGAATAGCACAATCATAAAACAAAATATGGCAGCAAGTGAACAAATGAAATGCACTCTGTTCAATCGTCTGCATACCCATAATTCTTAATCCTGTGTATTGCCCCCTTTAGCATTAATGACAGTGTTCAGTCTTTTGTAATACACTGCTCAAAAAATTTTTGAAAACACATCAGATCTCAATGAGGAAAAATATCACGCTGGATATCTATACTGATATGGACTGGGTAATGTGTAAGGAACGTAAGGATGTCCCATCTTTTGATGGAAATGAAAATTATCAAGCTACAGAGGACTGAATTCAAAGACACCCCAAAAATCAAATTGAAAACATTATGCAGCAGGCTAGTCCAGGGGTGGGCAAACTTTTTGACTTGAGGGCCGCAATGGGTTCATATATTGGACCCGGGGGCCGGACCAAGAGTAGATGAATGAGGGGTATGTGTCATCCATAGTAAGTATAGTAATATTCCCCCATAGTAAGCATAGTAATTAATCCCCCATATCGTAATTCATCCCCCATATAGTAATTCATCCCCCCATAGTAATTCACCCCCCATAGTAATTCATCCCCCATATAGTAATTCATCCCCCATATAGTAATTCATCCCCCATAGTAATTCATCCCCCATATAGTAATTCATCCCCCCCTATAGTAATTAATCCCCCATAGTAATTCATCCCCCATAGTAATTCATCCCCCCTATAGTAATTCATCCCCCATAGTAATTCATCCCCCATATAGTAATTCATCCCCCCTATAGTAATTCATCCCCCATATAGTAATTCATCCCCCATATAGTAATTCATCCCCATAGTAATTCAACCCCCATAGTAATTCATCCCCCATATAGTAATTCATCCCCCATAGTAATGCATCCCCCATAGTAATTCATCCCCCATATAGTAATTCATCCCCCATATAGTAATTCATCCCCCATATAGTAATTCATCCCCCATAGTAATTCATCCCCCATATAGTAATTCATCCTCCATAGTAATTCATCCCCCATATAGTAATTCATCCCCCATAGTAATTCATCCCCCATATAGTAATTCATCCCCCATATAGTAATTCATTCCCCAAAGTAATTCATCCCCCCTATAGTAATTCATCCCCCATAGTAATTCATCCCCCATATAGTAATTCATCCCCATATAGTAATTCATCCCCCCTATAGTAATTCATCCCCCCTATAGTAATTCATCCCCCATAGTAATTCATCCCCCATAGTAATTCATCCCCCATATAGTAATTCATCTCCCCATAGTAATTCATCCCCCATATAGTAATTCATCCCCCATAGTAATTCATCCCCCCTATAGTAATTCATTCCCCCTATAGTAATTCATTCCCCATATTAAGTCCCCAAGTCCCCAAGTCCCCCCTGTGTCAATTCACTTATCTTTCCTCTCGCCGTGTCCGCGCCGTTCCAGTGTAGCATGAAAATCTGTCTCCTATGAGGATCTGTCCCCCTCGACGCATCTGCGCATGTGCCAGTTTCAGGCATTAGCAGCCGATCGGCGATCTCGAGGCACATGTGCAGATACGTCGAGGGGGACAGATCCTCATAGGAGACAGATTTCATTCTATACCGGTCTTCAGGGCGGACTGTGAGAGGAGCCTAGCTCCGCGGGCCGGATTAAAAGGTCCGCCGGGCCGTATACGGCCCGCGGGCCGTAGTTCGCCCATTGCTGGGCTAGTCCATTTCGCTGAAATGTCAATGCAGCAACTCCAAATGGTACTCAGTAGTTTGTATGGCCCCACCTGCTTGTATGCATACCTGACAACATCAGGGCATGCTCCTAATAAGAAGACGGATGATGTCCTGGGGTATTTCCTCCCAGATCTGGACCAGGGCATCACTGAGCTCCTGGACAGTCTGAGGTGCAACCTGTACCAAAACATGATATCCCAGAGGTGTTCTATTGGATTAAGGTCAGGTGAGCATGGGGGCCATTCAATGCTATCAATTCTTTTATCCTCCTGGAACTGTCTGCATACTCTCTCCACATGAGGCCGAGCATTTGTCGTGCACCAGGAGGAACTCAGGACCCACTGCACCAGCGTAGGGTCTGACAATGGGTCCAAGGATTTCATCCCAATACCTAATGTCAGTCAGGGTGCCATTGCCTAGCCTGTAGAGGTCTGTGCATCCCTTCATGGATATGTCTCCCCAGACCATCACTGACCCACCACCAAAATGGTCATGTTGAACAATGTTACAGGCAGCATAACGTTCTCCACGGCTTCTCCAGACCCTTTCATGTCTGTCACATGTGAGCCTGCTCTCATCTGTGAAAAGCACAGGGCACCAGTGGCTGACCTGCCAATTCAATGGCAAATGCCAATCGAGCTCTATGGTGCCAGGCAGCGAACACAGGGCCCACTAGAGGACGTCGGGCCCTCAGGCCACCCTCATGAAGTATGTTTCTGATTGTATGGTCAGAGACGTTAACACCAGTGGCCTGCTGGAGGTCATTTTGTAGGTCTCTGGCAAAGGAGCAGATACCAGTCCTGCTAATGGGATAAGGACCTTCTATCCCTGTTCAGTTCTTGTAGAATAACTGCCTATCTCCTGGAATCTCCTCCATGCTCTTGAGACTGTGCTGGGAGACACAGCAAACCTTCTGGCAATGGCATGTATTGATGTGCCATCCTGGAGGAGTTGGACCGCCTGTGCAACTTCTGTACGATCCAAGTATCACCTCATGCTACCAGTAGTGACACTGACCCTAGCCAAATGCAAAACTAGTGAAAAACAGTCAGAAAAGAAGAGTAAGGGAAAAAATGCCAGTGACCTCACCTGTACAACCATTCCTGTTTTGGGGGTTGTCTCATTGTTACCCATCTCATGCACCTGTTGTTAGTTTAAATAACACCAAAGCAGCTGAAACTTATTAACAACCCCCCTCTTCTACTTAACTGACCAGGTTAATATCCCAGGAGTTTAATTGACTTGATGCTATACTCTGATTATATAAAGTGTTCCTTTAATTTTTTGGAGCAGTGTAGTTTTCTATGAGGCCCCACATTCTTGCAGGTGGTATAGCTGCCCATTCGTCTTGGCAAAATGCCTCCAGGTCATGCAAAGTCTTTGGTCATCTTACATGAACAGCACCTTTAAGATCACACCAGAGTGGATCATTGATATTAAGGCCAGGAGACGATGATGGCCACTCCAGAACCATCACCTTTTTCTTCTGTAACCACTGGAGGGTCAACTTGGCCTTGTGCTTAGGGTCATTACCATGCTGGAAAGTCCAAGAGGATCCCATGCACAGTTTTCATGCAGAAGAATGCAAATTGTCTGCTAGTATTTTCTGATAACATGGTCAATTCACATCTTGCCATTCATTTTCATAAGATTACCTGTGTCTTTAGAGCTCATACACCCCAAAAACATGAAGGGGCCATGTCACGTACCTGATTGGAGACTGAAATGACGAGGTCGGCCTCACTTGTGTCACTAGCCCTGACCCCACTGGAAGTGGAACAGAGGGACAAGAGCGTCAGCAGATGTTGTTTGAAGCTCTTGCAGTTGGAGACTTTGGAAGGCTGATGAAGGGATCAGCGTAGAGTTGTGATATTGCTGAGAAAAAAGAGTCCATCAAAGTTAGAGCCGGATCATGTTGCTCACGAAAGTGGTGTGCCCAGGATTGGGGTTCATGCTTAATAAGTGAGATAATGAATCCCACTTTGGTGCTTGGTGAAGCAAAGGTTCTTGGAAGCAGGGAAAAATATAACTCGCAGGAGTTGCAAAAGGTTCGGAACTTCCTGCGGTCTCCCGTGAAAAACTCAAGTATTGGAACCCGGGATTCCGGTGGAGGAGAAGTTCCATGAATCATGCTGAGCTCTGTCTGGATAGTTATGTCTGAGACTGCAGAAGGACCCATGGCTGTTGAGACATCTAACTTGGTTGGTAGTTGGTGTTCCATGTGCTCAAGGTTTCTTTGCAACCTCTGCACCATGTAAGACAAGGCAGAGATTGATTGACAGATGTCCCCCATTGCCGAGGCCTCCCTTTCAGACTCCATCATTGGCTGACTGGTACTGTCACGTACCTGATTGGAGAATGAAATGATGAGGTTGGCCTCACTTGTGTCACTAGCCCTGACCCCACTGGAAGTGGAACAGAGGGTGTCTAGGGACCAGGGGGACAAGAGCGCCAGCAGATGTTGTTTGCAGCTCTTGCAGTTGGAGACTTTGGAAGGCTGATGAACCTTCGATTCAGGCACCGTAGTAATATGCAGAGCTGGTATGGTAGATCACCAGGTGTGCACCAGAGCAAGGCAGGAAGCAGGGATGGGAGACAGGAGCAGCGTCAAAGGAATAGCCGGGGTCATCACCGGGCAAACAGAGAGGTACCAAATCATAAGCAAGCCAAAGTCAGGAGCAGAGCCG